CTCACTACGTACGTCAAATCATCACATTGTACACTTTAAATATATTAGAATTTTGTCAATTATACCTTAATAAAGCTGGAAAAAATTTTTAAAAGGAAATGAAGTTACTAAAAGCATGGGTTTTGATAACCTAATAAATTCATCTTAAGGGAAAAAAAAGAGCCAAATTGAGGTTTCCCTGTGGAAGAAGAAATTCCACCTGTACACTGCAGCATCTCCTCTTGCCTGGAAGTTTCCAGATTTCTGGCCTGCCCTACAGATTTCAGGCCTGTCTAGCCAGCCTCAACAGTTGCATAAACCAATTCTTTGCAATAAATCTCTTGCAATAAACGTTTATCTCCTATTGGTTCTTTCTCTGGTAGAACCTGACTGATACAGCAAATAACTTTACTTATTTAACTGAAAAAGTAAAGGTGTGGTGTTAACTTCCTCAAATTTCACTCTATACCTGTCCCCCCGACAGAAACTAACCTATACCTTCACTCTTTATTTTCTTCCCTCTTTCTTAAAGTTCCCTGCTCCCATACCTACATGAAACATCCTTGCCAATCTTTTCTGCGACCTTGTTCCATCAATTATCTTCTCTTCCCTGAATATTCAGCCTAGTCCTCTAACTCATGCTCATGTCTCTTCCTTGTCTAGGTTGAAAAACAAAACCCCTGCTTTCTTACATTCCCCATAAATATTACTTACTGGAATATTTTCTACCTTTCTAGAGCCAAACTTCTTGAAATATCCAGTTCTTGTTGGCTGTATTTCCTCACTCCCATTCATTCCTTAACCAGTTGCAGCCTGTCTCCAGCTTCCCTCAATCCACTAAAACTTTCTCTGTCAAGATTATTAAGGAACCTCTGATTGCTAAAGCTGAGGAAACTGAAGCCTGTCCTTTTCTTGACTTTTCAGAGGCATTAACCACTCCTTAAAATTTCTGTCTTGCCTTCGTATGCATCAGTCCTCCTACTGTTTACCTCCCAGACCACTCCATTCTCTATTTTTTGCCTGATTCCTCTTCTTTGCACCAACCATCAAACGCTGGTGTTCCCCAATCCTCTCTGACTTCAAGCTTCTCATTTCATATACCTATAGTTTCCTTGGGTGACTTCTATGTCTTGAAGTTCACTATCTATGCGCTGGGTTTGCACTGACGCTGCACCTGAGGAGCCAGAAGGAAGCAGGTGAAGGCCTCACCTCTGCTTCCACCTCATTTGGTCCTCTTTGAACTGTTCCACATTGAACCCATGTGCCAGCTGGGGGCCTCCCTGTCCCAGTCCTACAAGCAGTGAAAGGACACCCCTTCCCGAGTCCTACAGGCGGGAAAGTCTTCCCAAGCTTTCTGCTGTTGCTGGCTTTCACTCCAATGGGGGTGCTGAGTCAAATGAACAACTACCCCGTGATCTGTGCTATGAAGAAGTCATCAAAGCAGAGTGAGAGCGTGCAGCGGGGAGGGGAAGCCACTCTTCTGGCTGCAGCGCCCTCTGCTTGGGTAACATTTGCAAAGAGTCCTGATTGAAGTGATGGAGAGAAATACAGATATTTGGGTGAAGAGTGGACCTGGCAGAGGGAACAACAAGGACCAGAGCCCTGAGCAGGAAGTGTGTGGGATGAATTTAGAAACAGCAGGGAGGGTAGGGTGGCTGGTGGTAAGTGAGGGAAGTGAGCGGGAGGTGAGGTCTGGGCGGCAGCCAGAGGGCAGAGGGTGCAGGGCCTGGAGGCTGTGATCAGGAGTTTGGATTCCTTCTGAGAGTGAGGGGAGCCATTGAAAGGGTTTTGCCTTTTAAAACGGTTCACCACTCCAGATTTTGATAAAGCGGAGAATAGAGTTTATGGGTGAGCCTGGAGAAGGAAGGCCATGGCAGGAACCTTGTGAACCTTCCCGTTTTGCTGGATAACCTCTTGCCTGCCCCCTACACCTCCACTGCCTCAGAGCTACTCCCTCCCTCAGACAAAGCAGCTCTGTCTTCTTCTTCAAGTCCTGGTGCACATTCAGACCGTAGGGTGAGAATCTGCGCCTTCCCCCATCAAGGATTTTTCACAATATATTTCTAAACAACGGCAGATGTGTTTCCTGTTAAGGGGAAGAAAAACAAAACATTCTCCACCTCCTCCTTTACACATTGGGCCTTCACGAAGGTTTCATCTGAACAAAGGGTTTTACCACAAAAACAAATGTGAACATTGCTTTCCTGCTCACCCTTCACTGTTCCAGTGAATAAACCAAAGTCTCATGAGAGAAGTGACTTCACTAAATTGACACTACCTACTTCCCTCCTGCCCGCCATGTCCCGCACGCCAGCCCCTCAGCAGCCTGCAGTTTGCTCCTGCTACTCCAGCTGCCTAAAACGCTCTTGTCCTCCTACCCACCCAATCCCTTCTCCCCTTGACATTTGGCCCATGCCACCATCACCCCCACTCGCCACCAAGCCTTCTCTCCTCAGCTCCCTTCTCTTCCCAGCCCCTCACTTTGAACAGAATTCGTGGCACCTTTCTCTGGCCGCCAGCTGTGCCCCCTACTTCACTAGTGTGGTTCTAATTACCCTGCACTGTAATTTATCTGTTTACATGGAAGCCTCCACCGATGAGACAATGAAATGGTAGTCCATCCTAAGGCAGGGACTGCGTTGTCTCCACCTCCAGTTTCCAGCTACTGCATCTCACCTGCCTCAGAGCTGGAGCCCCCCAGGAATGACTGTCAAATGCCTCAGCTGCAGCAAGACCTCTGTGAAACATTCCGCCTTTGTCTCTTCACACAGCCGTGTCTCTTCTCGCAGGACTGCATATGGGTTTTCTTTAGTTTCTTGGGGGGTTTTGTTAGTTTTTTAATGAAGGTACTAGGGGTTGAACCTAGGACACTGTGCATGCTAAGCATGAGCTCTACCACTGAGCTATACCCTCCCTCCCCCTTTTAGTTTCTTATTTATAACTCCTCTGGAGAAACTGTATTCTGAAGAATACTGGACATAAAGACAGAATTCTGGAATGAGGTGCTCTAATTCTTCTTAGTTGTGTGAATTTAAAGAAGTCACTTCATTCTTTGCAGCCTATATTTCTGCATTTGTAAAATGAGAAAAAAAAATTCAAGATCAACCAAAATCCTCAAAGACAGTGTTTTTCAAACTGTAGGTCTTAACCCATTCATGGGCCATGAAATCAACTTAACAGCTCAAGATCAGCATATTTTAAAAGTGAAATGATAAAGAAAGTAAGAGAGCATTACATGTAACAAAGTTAAATATTGTTTCTTGAAATAGTGTGGTTAAACACTCTATACTGTGTGTACTGGGTCCTGATATAAAATGTTATTTCCTATTGTGAATTGAGGGTTTTTTTTAAACCAATCTTGAAAAAAGTTAAGTCTGCCTTTCTTAAAGGGTAAGGTACAAATACAATTTCTTTATATACTAATACTCTTTGTTCAAAACTGTCAGGCTAGAAGTGGGTAGGATCACTTCTAGAGCAGTAATTAGTGAATCTGGAGCCCCAGATTCAGGTAGGTTAAGTGTACAGTGTTAATAATTTTTAAAACTATTATATAATTGACAATATATATGACAATTATATATAATTGACATATAACATTATATTAGTTTCAGGTATACAGCGTCATGAGTCAATATGTATATATATTACAGAATGAATTAATAATTTTTTGAAGTCAGACACTTATAGTGATGTACCAGTAATTCATGGACAGAATACTGTGTTATAAACAGACATGAGTTTAAAGCCTGGTTCCAGTCCTTACTTACTTCATGACCTACTGAGCCTCAGTTTCTTCATCTGAAAACTGGGGAGAATGAAATCAATTTTTGTAAACTCCCAGGCACAGATCTGGCACATGGAAGTAATGTTAATGTCCACTCTCTTCTCCCTTGAGAGTTTCACAAAACATGGCCTTCCTTTTTGGTCTCTTTCAGATAAAGTTGGTCTAGGCAACCTTACCTTTTTCATCTGCAGTTAGCTTTATCTTATGGTTTAGCTTGAGTTCAGATCCCGGAGATCTTGTCAAATGCATTATAAGACTTGAAAAAGAATTTTGTGTTAAGTTGGCTTAAACAACTGAAGTTAAAGTCACTTGGAAAGCTGGTTTTAATCTCCTTTTATAAAGATATAATTATATGGTAACTTTTTTTTTAATCTCTGGGTTTTTGCTTTTAGTCTCCACCCCCTTTACTGAATTGCTTGATCAGCTACAACTTTTCACTTTGTTTAGTTTAGTTTTCCTTTGTTTCCCTCCTCCTCGCAAAAATAATCACTCTCCAGAACATATGATAATGTCATATACAGAGGGAGGAAATCCCCATTCATCTGAGGATCAGCCACATCCAGGACTCATATGTGCTGGATAAGCTGCTATCAGAGTGGGAGTGAGGTGAGGTCATTTCACCAGGATGCACTCATTCTTGCTATGAGTCAGGAAGAATTCATCTAGGAATAGGAGCAGATTTGGTTTCCTTTACACATCACATGAGGTTCAAACAGTCATCTGCTCTCATGCATGATGCATTCTGCAAATGCAGTAAGACAGAGATAGCGTGATGTGCTGGGGAAGAGCACAGACTGCTGGAATCCAGCCACTGCTACTCAGAAGCTATGAGCCTGGTTAGTGAGTTTTTTTAATTAAATTAAAATTTTTGTTATTTTTTTTACTTTTTTAAAGGGAGGTACTGGCATTGAACCCAGGACCTTGTGCATGCTAAGCATGTGCTCTACCACTGAGCTATACCCTCCCCCTCTATTTATTTTTTTAAACAGAAGAAAAACCAAAAGTTTAATAACACATATACATACATGGGAGAGACCCAGAAAAACTAGGTAACTTGTCAAAATGGCTGAAGCCGTCACCTTAAATACTATCTTCAGCTAAAGACAAAAGAGGATGTTGAGGGTGGGGCGAGACAATAAGAAGTTACCAGGAGAAGCACGCAGTAAGCAAGGGTGATTGTGATGCAGACTTAAGCATTGTCTTCTCCCTTGGTAAGAATTTGTAGAGATTCAGTCACAAAAATATGAGACACTTCACCAACGTGCATGCCATCCTTACACAGCGGCCATATTAATCTTCTTTTTCTACAATTTTAGTATATGTGCTGCTGAAGTGAGCACCTGAAGCAAGTTATTTTACTTCTCTCTGCTTCTGTTTTCTCATCTTAAAAGAAAAGGTGGTAGATGTACCCACCTCTTAGAGTTCACTCCAGAACACTGCCTGGTGCACGGTAAGAGCCAAGGAAATGTTTTTATATCGATGAAGTGTGCACAAGTAAAACAATAGTCTCATGTTCTAAGGAGTGGCTCCATCCAGTGGAAATGAGAAAAATCATGAAGTTCCTAGTTATCCCTCATGCTGCCTCTGGTCCCCAGGTAGGCGTGGCAAGGTCCAAGCACACCATGCTCGTAGGCAGCAGTGAGATGGGGCTTCTGGGGGCATGGGTGAAGCCCGCTTGAAGCATAAAATCCAGAACTCTGGTGTCAGTAACATTGCTTAAGCAGAAGTCTTTAAGCTTCAGCCAGGATGGGTAGCATGAGCATGGCAGGAGGAGAGGAGAGTCTCCCCGAAAAATTGTCTGCTTTGGTGTCCGCTGCTGATTCTTCCTTGCCTGAGGTTGGTGGCCTCTGCGTTTTGCCCGGGAGCCAGGTTCACTGTGGTACCCAACACTGTGGAGGGGGCGGTGTGGAGCTGTTGTTGCTGGAGGAGCGTTGAGTTCTGAGCAGAAAGTAAGAAGTAGATGAACTCAGCACTTGTAGATTGGGCCACCCACAGTTCCTCAAAAAGTTACACACAGAATTACTATATAACCAAGAAGTTCTACTCCTAGGTATATATTGAAGAGAGATTGAAACATATGCCCCCACAAACACCTGTACCTGAATGTTCCTAGCAGCAGTACTTGTGATAGCCGAAGAGTGAAAACAGCCCCCATGTCCATCAGCTGAGAAACGGAGGAACAAAATGCAGCAGAAGCGTCCCCCGCCCTTCTGGACAGTTCACTTTACGCCACTTCGCTCTTACCGAAGACCTGCTTCAGTACGGGTTTCGCTGACCGGAAGAAATCCGAAGGCTTTCACTTTGACAATAAAAGGCAAAAAGTGAGAGTCGCAGTGTGTTCCTTTTGCAGCAAGTGGTTGCAGAGGCATGGAGCACCCCAAACACGGGAGTGTCACCACCAAGCTCCTTCTGGGAAAACGTCACTCAGCCTCTCAGCATCCAGCCACCATAGCTTTCAACTGCACCTGTGAGCATCTGTGCTTTATCTCGATTTATTTTGTGCAGCTATTAGTAAGATGTGTCCTAAGATCACTGCTTCTTCACTTTACACCATTTCAGCATATGGAGGGTTTCATAGGAATGCTCTACTCTCAGAGAGTGGGGAAAACTTGTGTATCTATATGCTGGAATATTATTTATTCAGGTATTAAAAAAAAAGGAATGAAGTACTGACTCATGCTGCAACACGGATGAACCTTGAAACCATTAAACTATGTGAAAATGCAAAACATGAAGACCACATATTGCATGAATACATTTATATGAAATGTCCAGAACAGATAAATTCATAGAGAGCAGATAGTAGTTACCAGAAGTGGGGGTGTGGTGGGGGGAGGAGAGGAGGGGGAGTGACTACTAATGGGTATAGGATTTCCTTTTGGGGTGATGAAATGTTCTGAAATTCGGTAAGTGCTTATGGTTGCTCAATCTTGTGAATACACTAAAAACTACTGAATAGCATACTTTAAAAGGTGAAATTTATAGAATGCAAATTATTGCTCAGTAGAAATAATAATAAATAGATAAAGTTTGGCCTCCCAGTCTCACTACCTGTAGAAAGTGCGACAGTGATGTGTTCGGGATCCAGGTGAGACCCCTTGGCATGAAGACAGGAGTGCTAGAAGATGGTTGAATTTGGAGGAATGAGTTTTCTGAAACCTGAATACAAGTGAGTCCTCCAATTGGATCTCAGGTGATTAACAGCCCATGGAAATAGTAATCCTTTCAGATGAATGGGGCAGTGATGGCCAGGTATGTTGTGGAGGATATGAAGTTCAGTGTTTTCTTGAGAGCATTCATTTCCACCAAAATCAGGCTAAGAACTGGGTATGATCAGGCCCATTATCGATAGGAGTTGGGAAAGTTGTGGTCACCTCTTGGGCCCTCCTTTCTCCTAGAAACATCTGGAGGGCTGCAGTGTATCACAGGGTGTAGGTTCAGGTGCTGGCCACTGAAAGCCTCAATCTGGAACATACTTCACTGACTTGCCAAGTGGCATCATGGCAGAGAAATGGGACCCACAAAAGCTGCCATGTGGGCAAGAAGCCCCCAAGCACGCTCAGCTCAACTGATTGCCTCGACATCCATCAGGCCATTATCTCCTGATGGGGCTCAGTTCAGGGCCGCAGAGAACTGTTAAGGGGTAAGGATGGCCAGACTGGGCAGGCGGGATCCAAGCAGAAGTGAAGGAGGTACCTGGCACTCAGTTAGCAAGTCCTTTAGGCTGAAAGACAGCAGAATCCCAGAGGGTAGCTCACCAACCCCCCAAATCCCTGTTCCTTTGTGGCCCACATTCACTGACTGGAGAAGACATAGCCCAGAACTCCAGTTTTGCAAACACATGTTTCCCCAGAGAGGCTGCACTGCTGGGAAAGCCTGCTTCTTCCCCTCTCCTGTCTGACCGCTCCCCAAAGAAATCAGACAGTTTTATCCAGGAAGCCTTCCTACTATTATGAAATATTACACAAATACAGAAAAATACAAAAAAGAAATGTTCTGTACGTAAAGCTAGTTTTTACTTACTACCTTTGAGTTATCTGCACCCCCAATCTAGTTGGAAATTCTGTTCTGCAATATAATTAACACACCTAGGATGATATAAATTAGCATTTTGGGGTTGCAGGTCACAGAAACCCAGCCCAAACTATTAAGCACAAAGAGACGTTTATTATAAGGACTCATGAACCCAAGGACAAGAATATAGCTGGGAATCTGGAAGGAACTAAAATCAGAGACTCAAACACCATCAGAAACCTCTTTTTCTCCAATACTCTTCTCTCAGTTCCCTGTGATGGGAGAGGGAACACTGACAGTTCCCAACTTTCACATCTAACAAATTCAGTTACCTGGAGACATTCAGTCTCACTTCCAAAATTCCAAGGGAAAGAACTAATTGGTCCAGCCTGCCTGAGGCACTCCACCCAGTAACTCATGGTTAAGGGAGTAGAGGGGGCTGACGTTGTAGGAATACAGCAGCTCTTACTGCCACCACTCAGAAAAGACAATTCCTCAAATAGTGGCACCAGTCAAGCAATCCAACAAGCGCCTACTGCAGGGCAGAAGCTATTTGACCCCTCAGAGGATACAGACTTAGGGCAGGGGGTCTCAACCTTGGCTACACATTGAAATCACCTGGAAAACCTTAGCGATGACTGATACCTGGGACCCCCTGCCCCAGGAGATTCTGATTTACTTCATCTGAGGTGTGACTTCAGCCTCAGGCTTTAAAAAAAAATCTCCCCAGGTGCTTCTAACGTGCACCCCAAGGTTTAGACCTGCTGGCTAGTGCTGTGCTTTTCAAACACTCACGTGCCTACACATCACGGGTATCCTGATAAGATGCAGCTTCTGATTCAGTAGGTCTAGGCAGAGCTTGAGAGTTTGCATTCTGATGCTCTCCCGGGTGATGCTAACCTGGTCCTCAGCCCATTCTGGGAAGCCAGGTTCTGTGCAGCACTGTCCAAGAGAACTTTCTGCGATGGCAGAAATGGTCTGCAGATGCGCTGTCCAATACAGTAGCCACTAGCTGCAATGTAATTAGCGGATTAATGAAATGAAATGTAATTAGTGAGACTGAAGAACTGAATCTTTTACTTTATTTTATTTGAATTAATTTGAAGAACCACATGTGGCTAACAGCTACTGAATTGGACAGAGCCCGTCTAGTGGATTTCAACCAGAGGGAGGGCATATCTGAATCACCTGCGGGATTACAACCAACTCAGTGCTCTTGTGGCTGCCGAGTTCCTCCTCACCCTCCCCAATCCAGGCCCCAAGACAGTGTGATAGAATAGGGGTGCAGTGTGGGGAGAACACGGATGAAGAGTGAAGGCCCCACAAGTGATTCTGAAGCACTGTCCTTGCTCACCTGGTGAGAACCATTGACGTAGAATGTTCCGGATATCTATTTCCCTGTTACAAACCACCCTCAAACTTAGTGACCTAAGAAAGCAATGTTCATTTTTCTCATGAATCTGCATTTTGGGCAGGGCTGAGTGGGGATAGCTCATCTCTGTTCTACTTGGTGTCAGCTGAGGTGGCTTGAAGGCTGAGGCTGGAGTCATGTAGAAGGGAGCTCGCTTATGAGTTAGGGAGTTGAGGCTGGCTGTCAGCTGCAACCCTAGCTGGCACTTTAACCAGGGCACCTATTTGTGTCTTAAGCTTCTTCACACATGGTGCCAGCGAGAGAAAGAGAAGAAAAGGGAAAGAGACCAAGTCAGATGGGAACAACTCTATCCCTATTTTTAACCTAGCCTTGGAAGCCATACTGTCACTCCCACCATATTCTAGTCATTAGAAGTGACGGTGGGAAGGGCATGGCTCAGCAGTAGAGTGTATGCTTGGCATGCATGAGGTCCTGGGTTCAATCCCCAGTACCTCCATTAAAATAAATAAACAAACCTAATTACCCCTCCAAAAAAACCAAACAAAACAACAAAAAGATAAAGATTTAAAAAATGGTTTGTTAAAAAAAAGTCACTAGCTAACCCATATTCAGGAGTCAGGGGATTAGATTCTACCTTTAACAGGAGGAGTGAAAAGGAATTTGAAGACATATTTTTAAACCACCGCATACACTTAGAAACAAGGAGCACTCTGGGCAGAACTCTGCACACAGCAGCGCATAGTCCAGCTGCCTTGTCTATGAGAAATCAAGTTTTGCTGGTACCAGGCACAGCCAGGCTCATCCCTGACTCCAAAATTCCAACTGGAAGACACCTCCCCAAAGGCCTGTTTTCTAGACTTCTGACCCAGAGGCTACCCTATTACACACACTCCTTGAGTAACTTCCTGATTCCTTTTTTCAGAATTTCTTGAGTGGTGGTATGGGAGGAACTTAGGGGTCAGGACACCTGGGTTCTGATCCCAACCCTGCAGAAGCCTGTAAAAAAGAATGCAGGTTTATTTGGGAGTGAGGAGATTATAATAATTTTCTTCTCGATGTGTCAATTTTCTGTATTATTATTTAAAGTTTTCATTGTGGTCACAACGTTGTAAATCAACTATACTTCAGTAAGAAATGTTTTTTAAATTAAAAAAATAAAACTAAAAAAATCTAGAAAAAATAAAGTTCTCATTGTGGTTATTTATATATATATATATATACCTACACACACACACACACACATACACCATAAAACTTATCATTTTAACAATTTTAAGTGTACAGCTCAGTAGCATTAAGTATATTCACATAGTTGTGCAACTATCACCACCATCCATCTCCAGAACATTTTCATCTCCTCAAACTGAAATTCTATACCCATTAAATACTAACTTCCTATCCCTACTTCCCCCAGCCCCTGGCACCCACCATTCTACTTTCTTTCTCTATGAGTTTGACTATTCTAGGAACTTTATGTAAGTGGAATTATACAGGATTTGTCCCTTTGTGACTGGCTTATTTCACTTGGCATAATGTTTTCAAGGTTCATCCATGTTGCAGCGTATTTCAGAATTTCCTTCCTTTTTAGGCCTGAATAATATTTTATACAGAATATAAATACTATGTTATATATTTTATATATACATATATATATCGCATTTTGTTTATCCATTCATCCATCAATGGACAGATGAGTCGTTTCCACCTTTTGACTTCTGTGAATAACACTGCTATAAACATCAGTATGAAAATATCTGTTTGAGTCTCTGCTTTCAGTTCTATTGCACAATGTAGACATATAATTGCTGGATCATATGGTAATTCTATGTTGAATTTCTTGGGGGAACCAGTTAAAACTTTTTAAGCCTTTCTGTAAGTGATGAAAGACAGTTAAGAATCAGCCAGTTTGATGCCTTAGGAACAAAAAAAATCATGTCTGATCTTTCTGGTTTTCGATAACGTTTACCCCTCTAGTGCTTTTATTTTTTTAAAGACTAATTACAAGAGAACATACATAACAATTTTCAGGTTTTATTTATTTGAAATTTCTTTTAAAAATAAAACTTTTTCATGTGCCTATTGATCATTTATGTTTCTTCCTTAGAAAATTGCTTCTGCCCATTTTTGGATTGGGTTGTTTGTGTTTTTCTTATTAAGTAGTAAGCTGCTTGTATATTCTGGAGATCAAGCCTTTGTCAGTTTCATCTTTTGCAAAAATTTTCTCCCATTCCTTAGGGTGTCATTTTGCTTTGTTTATGGTTTCCTTTGCTGTGCAGAAGCTTGTAGGTTTAATTAGGTCCCATTTGTTTATTCTTGCTTTTATTTCTATTGCTTGAGTAGACTGCCCTAGGAGAACATTTTTGACATGTATATGAGATAATGTTTTGCCTATGTTTTCTTCTAGAAGGTTTATTGTATCTTGTCTTATGTTTAAGTTTTTTATCCATTTTGAGTTTATCTTTGTGTATGGTGTAAGGGAGTGCTCTAGCTTCACTGAAAAAAATGCTCAATATCACTAATTATCAGAGAAATGTAAATCAAAACTACCATGAGGTGTCACCTCACACCAACCAGAATCGCCATCATTCAAAAGTCCACAAATAACAAATGCTAGAGAGGCTGTGGAGAAAAGGGGACCCTCCCACACTGCTGGTGGGAATGCAGTTTGGTGCAGTCACTGTGGAAAACAGTATGGAGATTCCTCAAAAGACTAGGAATAGACTTACCATATGACCCAGGAATCCCACTCCTGGGCATATATCCAGAAGGAACCCTACTTCAAAAAGACACCTGTACCCCAATGTTCATAGCAGCACTATTTACAGTAGCCAAGACATGGAAACAGCCTAAATGTCCATCAACAGATGACTGGATAAGAAGATGTGGTATATTTATACAGTGGAATACTATTCAGCCATAAGAACACAACATAAC